GTCTTACCGGAGTCAGCCGTTCTATCCTGCCGATGTAGCGTATATCCCGCCAGCTGTATGTTATCCATGTCGTCGTTCAGCCACGACTCGGTGAAACATAAGATATTCCAGTTTTAATGTCCCGTTGGTAGGATGACCTTCATCTTAGGTCGTACAATTTATTTTCAAATGATTGAACATTGGCTAATTGGATTGATGGAAGAGGCAGTTTACACGCTCGCCGTCGGATCCTTACAAGGCACCCCGACCTACGTCCACGATATCTCAGTCTCTTTCTTGTATTTTTTATTTTACCTTTATTTAACTAGGCAAGTCAGTTAAGAACAAATTCTTATTTCCAATGACGGACTACACCGGCCAAACCCGGATGACGCTGGGCCAATTGTGCGCCGCCCTATGGGACTCCCAATCACGGCCGGTTGTGATACAGCTTGGAATCGAACCAGGGGGTCTGCAGTGATGCCTCAAGCACTGAGATGCAGTGCCTTAGACCACTGCGCCACTCGGGAGCCGAATGATGGGGGTTTGGGCCTTGTCGGGTGTCTGTAGGATATCCTTTGCGACCGACTCGTTGGAGAAAAAATATTCGTCCAATACGAGGTGAGTAATCGCTGTCCTGATATCCAGAAGCTCTTTTTGGTCATAAGAGATGTTGGCAGAAACATTATGTACAGAATAAATTAAAAATAACGCGAAAAAACACACATAATAGTACAATTGGTTAGAGGGCTATTCTCTGTAGAAGAGATTGTGTTGGCAATTAAATCTATGCAGTGTGGTAAATCCCCTGGACCCGATGGATTTCCAAGCGAATTTTAAAAAAAAGTATCAGATCAACTCTCTCCTCTCTTGCCTTCCGTATTTGAGGAATCATTCTCCTCAAACTCTTTACCCTCAACAATGAGACAAGCATTTATTTCACTTACTCTGAAAACGGGAAAAAAACAATTGTAAGGTTCATATAGGCTAATTTCTTTACTGAATTGCAATGTAAAGATACTTTCTAAGATGATTGCCTGCCGTTTTGAGTCAATCCTTCCCTCCATTATCTCTACAGATCAAATTGGTTTATTAAAAATCGTCATCCTTTTTCAACAACCGACATCTTTATAATATACTTTATAATCCCTCTTCATCTGACACTCCAGAGATATTGTTATCACTTGATGCTGAGAAGGCGTTTGATCGGGTGGAGTGGGATTATCTATTTTATACTCATAAACAATTTGGATTCGGTCCCAATTTTATGTCTTGGATGAAAGTCCTTTACTCCTCCCCTATGGCTGCGGTGCGCACAAATAATAAATGTTCATCCTATTTCCAACTTCAACGTGGGACAAGACAGGGTTCTCCTTCTATCCCCCCAGCTGTTTGCAATCGCAATTGAGCCTTTAGCTATAGCAATACGTAATAACACCACTATCAAAGGTATTTAAAGAGGGGGCTTAGAGCATAAAGTTTCACTCGATGCGGATAAAATGCTGTTATATATGTCTGACCCTTTAACTGGTCTTCCAGAGATCCAGGTTCTACTAAAGACATTTGGGAAAATATCCGGGTATAAGGTTAACCTACAAAAAAGTGAATTGATGCCTATTGATCCTTCTGCCATGCAAACTTATTTTAGTCATGTGTCCTTCAGAGTGACTACACAGAAATTAAAATATTTGGGGATTTGGGTCACACACAATTTCAAAGATCTCTATAAAGCCAATTTCCCACCCTTGAACGCTGGGATTTACTTTCTCTTTCTTTGGGCGGAATAATTAACACTGTTAAAATGAATGTATTACTTAAGTTTTTATACTTATTTCAATGTATTCCTATCTTTCTGACAAAATATTTTATCTCCATAGATAAACTGATATCTGCTTTTATCTGGAACAAGAAAAACCCTTGGATACGTAAGAGCATATTGCAGAGATCTCGCTCCCAGGGTGGTCTAACACTTTCGAAGTTTCAATATTATTACTGGGCAGCTAATATAAGAATCATTCTATATTGGATGACAGAAATCCCTGATGTTACAGGCCCAAAATGGTTGACCTTGGAGATCTCATCCTGTGGCCCCACCTCCTTAGCTGCCTTACTCTGCTCAAAACTTGCATTAGCTGAGCCTGTTTCCAAATACACTAAAAACCCTATTGTGAAACATTCTCTACAAACCTGGAAACAGTTCAGGCGATTGTTTGGTCTCAGAGAGTTTTCAACTTTCTTGGCCCAAGCAAGTCTCTTCTTCTTATTGGTGTCCTTTGGTAGTGGTTTCTTTTCAGCAATTCGACCATGAAGGCCTGATTTCACGCACTCCTTTGAACAGTTGATGTTGAGATGTGTCTGTTACTTGAATTCTGTGATGCATTTATTTGGGCTGCAATCTGAGGTGCAGTTAACTCTAATGAACTCATCCTCTGCAGCAGAGGTAACTCTGGGTCATCCTTTCATTAGAGCCAGTTTCATCATAGTGCTTGATGGTTTTTGCGACTGCACTTGAAGAAACTTTCAAAGTTCTTGAAATGTTCTGGATTGACTGACCTTCATGTCTTTAAAGTAATGATGGACTGTCGTTTCTCTTAGCTTATTTGAGTTGTTCTTGCCATAATGTGGACAACTGATTGGCTCAAACGCATTAAGAAGGAAAGAAATTCCACAAATTAACTTTTAACAAGGCACACCTGTTAATTGAAATGCATTCCAGGTGACTACCTCATGAAGCTGGTTGAGAGAATGCCAAGAGTGTGCAAAGCTGTCATCAAGGCAAAGGGTGGCTACTTCCATATGTGTTATTTCATAGTTTTGATGTCTTCACTATTATTCTACAATGTAGAAAATAGTAAAAATAAAGAAAAACCCTTGAATGAGTAGGTGTGTCCAAACTTTTGACTGGTACTGTATGTCATGCCTGCTTTAAGTGTGGTTTTGGGGTGGGGCTCTGTTAGAGCGTGGGTGGGTTGGGTTGGGTTTGATTTGGTAGGGGATCCATGTGTGCTCTGCCCTGTACCTGTTCTGTCTGTGTTATCTGCATAATCATAACAAATGCCAAATAAAAATACCTTTGAAAAAACAAAAACAACAAAACGGAAATTACACATTTACATAAGTATTCAGACCCTTTACTCAGTACTTTGTTGAAGTACCTTTGGCAGCGATTACAGCCTCGAGTCTTCTTGGGTATGATGCTACAAGCTTGGCACACCTGTATTTGGGGAGTTTCTCCCATTCTTCTCTGTAGATCCTCTCAAGTTCTGTCAGGTTGGCTTGGGAGCGTCGCTGCACAGCTATTTTCAGGTCTCTCCAGAGATGTTCGATCGGGTTTAAGTTCAGGCTCTGGCTGGGCCACTCAAAGACATGCAGAGACTTGTCCCGAAGACATTCCTACGTTGTCTTGGCTGTGTGCTTAGAGTCATTGTCCTGTTGGAAGGTGAACCTTTGCCCCAGTCTGAGGTCCTGAGCGCTCTGGAGCAGGTTTTCATCAAGGATCTCTCTGTACTTTGCTCCGTTCATCTTTCCCTCAATCCTGACTAGTTTCCCAGTCCCTGCCGCTGAAAAACATCCCCACAGCATGATGCTGCCACCACCATGCTTCACCGTAGGGATGGTGCCAGGTTTCCTCCAGAGGTGATGCATGACATTCTGGCCAAAGAGTTCAATCTTGGTTTCATCAGACCAGAGAATCTTGTTTCTCATGGTCTGAGAGTCCTTTAGGTGCCTTTTGGCAAACTCCAAGCGGGCTGTCATGTGCCTTTTACTGAGGAGTGGCTTCCGTCTGGCCACTCTACCATCAAGGCCTGATGGTGGAGTGCTGCAGTGATGGTTGTCCTTCTGGAAGGTTCTCCCATCTCCACAGAGGAACTCTGGAGCTCTGTCAGAGTGACCATCGGGTTCTTGGTCACCTCCTTGACCAAGGCCCTTCTCCCCCGTTTGCTCAGTTTGGCCTGGCGGCCAGCTCTAGGAAGAGTCTTGGTGGTTCCAAACTTCTTCCATTTAAGAATGATGGAGGCCACTGTGTTCTTGGGGACCTTCAATGCTGCATAATTTTTTTGGTATGGTTACCCAGAACTGTGCCTCGACACAATCCTGTCTCGGAGCTCTACGGACAATTCCTTCGACCTCATGGCTTGGTTTTTGCTCTGACATGCACTGTCAACTGTGGGACCTTTAAATAGACAGGTGTGTGCCTTTCCAAATCATGTCCAATCAATTGAATTTACCACAGGTGGACTCAAATCAAGTTGTAGAAACATCTCAAGGATGATCAATGGAAACAGGATGCACCTGAGCTCAATTTCGAGTCTCATAGCAAAGGGTCTGAATACTTACGTAAATAAGGTATTTCTGTTTGCCACTGCAAGTTGAATAGTTTGGGATTTTCAGTCACTAAAAGACCATTTAAGCATAATTTCCTTGCATTTGTATAATTGTTGTTTGACTAGCATCTCCTCTCCTGTGTTCAGGCATTCCTCTACCTCTCCCTAAAATAGCCAGCCCTTAGCTGCTGGCTAAACATTCACCTGATGAAGAACAGTGTGGGGTAGCATCCAAAATGGCACCCTAATCCCTATTATAGTGCACTACATTTGACCATAGCCCTATGGGCCCTGGTCAAAAGTAGTGCACAATATAGGCAATCGGGTGCCATTTAGGACACAACCTGTGAGTTAGATAGTCACAGTGTTAATCCACTCTTGTTTGAAACCCTGGTGAGGCTGTGCTGACAGGGCGTAACTGGAGGGAATGGCTCAAAGTAATGGGAAAGAGTGGCCCTCTCCATTGTTTACCGAACAAAGTCACAGGGAATTTGGTTTGACCCCCGTAACTTTGGGTCACAAGGACTTTTTCATGGTTGAAGGGTTAAGTGGTGTGTTGAAAGTGTAATCTTCTCTTAATGGTGCATGGATCCATTAATTTTGTCTAAAATTAGATATTCTAATTGTGCTGAAAAGCAACAATTTACTCATATTAAACATGATTATTCTCTGTAGTGTATGCTGACTTTAAAATGAATTTGGACAATCAAATATATTGTATAGTTGAAGAAAATGTACATATGTGTATTTTTGCAGGGCATCGTGAAACTGGACATTCCCTTGTTTCCCCACCCCTGAAGACCACCTGACCCACATACATGGAGGGTAAAGAAGAGATCAGTGACACAGACAGTGGTATCATTCTCCACTCTGGTAAGGACCAAATACCTTTATCAACTTGCATGACACTAACATGTATTCACTATAATGGGACACCTGTAGTGAGACATTAGAGTCAACATTTTTTCAAACTTGATATGTTATGGGTTTTGTTTTAAAAACCTATTTGTGTTCCAGTTATAATGAAGTAGTTATGCAAGCAAGCCACAGTTTTATTTATTCTTTGGTGCTCCATTTCTAAGAAGATGCAGTGGCTACTACCAATGATTTCTATAAACCAGTAGCTGAGCTATCGCTGATCACATTCTTCACCGCATATTTTATTTAGTCACACGCTTTTTCCCCACATTGGGAGATTATCAGTCCAGACAGAATTGGGGGGGTTTTGTCATTCAGTGATTGGTATGTTTTCTAATGTTTATTTTCTCCTGCATGGTTGCCATTCCGGTAACAGTTACTGTGTGACGTCTTTGTTTCCCCGTCACACCTGTCTGTCAGTACCTGCAGGGATTGAGCTGATAATCTCTGAAAGCATGTGACACACGTTGCAGCTGGCCTGGAGACATTAGTAGCCCTGTGAATGAACTCAGGGTTTTCGTCCCAAATGGCATTCTACTCCCTAAATAGTGCACTACTTTTGGGCTACCCATAGGGCTCTTGTCAAAAGTAGTGCACTATATAGGGAGTAGGGTGCAATTTGGGATACACCCCAGTTGTCATTAGTCTCTGGCGGTTCTGGAGAGCCACCTAACTATTCCAGTAGAGCGACATATTGTTTATCACCTTGGTTTCACTCCCAGGTTTCACTCCCTTTCACACTTTCATGACAGTTTCAGTATCAGTCAATAAAACAGTAAACAGTATGAGTACAGACACTCATTGTCTCTTAAAATAACCATGTCTTGTCTAGGTGTCATCTTTGCTCACCATCTTCAACGTTGCTGCTCATGAGTGGGCAGAACCTCAGGATTGGAGCAACATTTTTGGTTGCATTTGTATTGCAACCTTTTTTGTTTTAGACATAGTTTATTCTTTCCAACCAGTTGGGTTATCTGTGTGATACAGCTGCAACCATATCAAATTGACAAGCAAGCATTACCAATTGAAAACTTGTGCCAAAAGATTGTGTCCAGATATCTATAGCCACGCTGTTTTCAATCCTTAGACCTCACAGTAGCCTCTTTGTCATTGTGTGTCCCAGGCCCTGATAGTCCTGCCACAATTATGAAGGACATGACCACTCACACCCGGGCCGTCAAACTCAAGCACCAGTCACTGGAGGACCGGCTAGAGCTCTGCCTACTGGAGCTGAAGAAACTCTGCATCCGAGAGGCTGTGAGTACCCCTGGATATAGTACACACCTTTACACACACACTTTACACACAGACACACTCCACTCTATCAGGGTTCAGGCCATTTTCACCATGACATCAGTGGAATTTCCCCATCAGTGAAACCATGACCTTGATGTCGGGGGTGGGGGGTTCATAGAGAGATGTTAATCAAGCTCTGACACAGGCAGAGAGGCCGATACGTAAGCTTAATAATACTGTCAAGATGTTAATTAAATAATTGCCTGGCACTCTGAAACTACTGAGGCGATAAAGACTGCCCACAGTCTGAAATGAAAGGCTTCTTTGGTTTGCTGCTCCTGACCAATGATAACACAACTATCACTTCCCTTTCAGTTAGGCTTATTTGTTGGGCTTTTAAGTGAGACAAGTTGGGGCAATTAGGAGGCAGCCAATGGACCTTAGGTGTCCCTATTATACAACACTAAATTCTCTCTCCCATATCTGGATCTCAGCAACTAATTCAGCCCTGAGAATGTCCCTGTCTCATCCGTCATCATTATGAGGGGCTGCGTTCCAAATGGCACCCTATTCCCATATGACTCTGGTCCAAAGTAGTGCACTATGTAGGTAATAGGGTGTCATTTGGGATGTAGACCAGTTCTGATCATTATTTCCTGTTGAAAATTGGGCTTGGCTCTTCTGTCGGGACTTGTCCTGTCAAGGTGTGCTGCCTGGAAGGAGGATCTGATGACACCTCTTCCTGCTCTCAGGAACACGACAGTGACTTAGATCATGACCAACCGTTCTGACGCTATTGTCTGTGTCTAGGAGAAAAAATGTACCTTTTATTTAGACTGACTCAAAACATACACAGGGTAATAATGCACTCTCACACTCAGGTTGAGTTTATGTGCAGCTAGAGAACAGGCCAGTGAGATGGATACACTGGGCAGGTGAGGCCCTAAGAATGTGTTGTGAAAGAGTAGGAACTATAGAAAAGCAGCATTGCGTAACAAACACTTGAGAACAATTTCCATGTCCCAGCATGTAAGGCAGGATAGATTTTTTAAACAATATTTCAAAATGAAGGAAAAACTAAATTAACTCTGAGGGTTCATGGAACTTGGTAGATTTGGAAGGAATGGGGACCGATTGGCTCTGAAGTACAAACTAATATAATATGTACACTGAACAAAAATATAAACGCAACATGCAACAATTTCAAAGATTTTACTGAATTACAGTTCATATAAGGAAATCAGTCAATTTAAATAAATTCATTAGGCCTTAATCTATGGATTTCACATGACTGGGCTGGGGTGCAGCCATAGAGCCTTGGAGAGCATAGGCCAACACACTTGGCAGCCAGGCCCACCCACTGGGGAGCCAGGCCCAGCCAATCAGAATGAGTTTCACCCCACAAAAGGGCCTGGCTGCCAGACAGAAATACTCCTCAGTAACCCCCCACCCCTCCTCAGACAATCCCGCAGGTGAAGAAGCCGGATGGGGAGGTCCTGGGCTGGCGTGGTTACACGCTGTCTGCAGTTGTGAAGCCGGTTGGACATACTGCCACAATCTCTAAAATGACATTGGGGGCAGCTTATGGTAGAGAAATGAACATGCAATTCTATGGCAACAGCTCTGGTGAACATTCCTGCAGTCAGCATGCCAATTGCATGCTCTCTCAAAACTTGAGACATCTGTGGCATTGTGTTGTGTGACAAAACTGCACATTTTAAAGTGGCCTTTTATTGTCCCCAGCACAAGGTGTACCTGTGTAATGATCATGCTGTTTAATCAGCTTCTTGATATGCCACACCTGTCAGGTGGATGGATTATCTCCGCAAAGGAGAAATGCTCACTAACAGGGATGTAAACAAATTTGTGCACAAAATTTGAGAAAAATACGCTTTTTGTGCGTTTGGACAATTTCTGGGATCTTTTATTTCAGCTCATGAAACATGGGACCAACACTTTAAATGTTGCGTTTTATATTTTGGTTCAGTGTATATTAAAGGGATACTTCGGGATCAAACTGCACACAGAGACATAAAAATGGTATCCACAAATTAATATAACTCTGGGGAAGTAGAGAAAGGGATTCATTGCCAAAATCCCAAGGTTTTTTCTTTAACATACAGTGCATTCGGAAAGTATTCAGACCCCTTCCCTTTTTCCACATTTTGTTACGTTACAGCCTTATTCTAAAATTGATTAAATAAAATGTTCCCTCATCAATCTACACACAATACCCCATAATAACAAAGCAAAAACAGGTTTTTAGAAATGTTTGCAAAAAAATAAATATAAATACCTTATTTACATAAGTATTCAGACCCTTTGCTATGAGACTCGAAGTTGAGCTCAGGTGCATCCTGATTCCATTGATCATCCTTGGTATGTTTCTACAACTTGATTGGAGTCCACCTGTGATAAATTCAATTGATTGGACATTATTTGGAATGGCACACATCTGTCTATATAAGGTCCCACAGTTGACAGTGCATGTCAGAGCAAAAACCAAGCCATGAAGTCGAAGGAATTGTCCGTAGAGCTCCGAGACAGGATTGTGTCGAAACACAGATCTGGGGAAGGGTACCAAAAAATGTCTGCAGCATTGAAAGTCCCCAAGAACTCAGTGGCCTCCATCATTCTTAAATGGAAAAAGTTTGGAACCACCAAGACTCTTCCTAGAGCTGGCTTCACAGCCAAACTGAGCAATCGTGGGAGAAGGGCCTTGGTCAGGGAGGTGACCAAGAACCCGATGGTCACTCTGACAGAGCTCCAGAGTTCCTCTGTGGAGATGGGAGAACCTTCCAGAAGGACAACCATCTCTGCAGCACTCCACCAATCAGGCCTTGATGTAGAGTGGCCAGACGGAAGCCACTCCTCAGTAAAAGGCATGACAGCCCACTTGGAGTTTGCCAAAAGGCACTTAAAGGACTCTCAGACCATGAGAAACAAGATTCTCTGGTCTGATGAAACCAAGATTGAACTCTTTGGCCTGAATGCCAAGAGTCACGTCTGGAGCAAACCTGGCACCATCCCTACAGTGAAGCATGGTGGTGGCAGCATCATGCTGTGGGGATGTTTTTCAGCGGCAGCGACTGGGAGACTAGTCAGGATCGAAGGAAAGATGAACAGAGCAAAGTAGAGAGAGATCCTTGATGAAAACCTGCTCCAGAGCGCTCAGGACCTCAGACTGGGGCGAAGGTTCACCTTCCAACAGGACAACTACCCTAAACACACAGCCAAGACAACGCAGGAGTGGCTTCGGGACAAGTCTCTGAATGTCCTTGAGTGGCCCAGCCAGAGCCCGGACTTGAACCTGATCGAACATCTCTGGAGAGACCTGAAAATAGCTGTGCAGTGACGCTCCCCATCCAAACTGACAGAGGATCTGCAGAGAAGAATGGGAGAAACTCCCCAAATACAAGTGTGCCAAGCTTACCCAAGATGACTAGAGGCTGTAATCGCTGCAAAAGGTGCTTCAACAAAGTAAAACATTTTTTTATACATTTGCTAAAATGTCTAAAAACCTGTTTTTGCTTTGTCATTACGGGGTATTGTGTGTAGATTGTTGAGGCAAATATATATATTTTTTTAATACATTTTAGAATAAGGCTGTAACGTAGCTAAATGTGAAAAAGTCAAGGGGTCTGAATACTTTCTGAACGCACTGTACATGATTTTTGTTGTGTTGAATTAACAGAATATGATTCCTCATATTTTAACCAGCTTACATCTGGTGTTTTTTTACCATGTCTTATAGGAGCTGACTGGTCGGCTGTCTGCAGACTACCCTTTGCTGCCTGGGGAGAAGCCGCCTCAAATTCGCCAACGTATCGGAGCTGCCTTCAAACTAGACGAGCAGAGCATCCCACAGGGAACAGTGGTAAAGAGCCTGACAGGGTTTTGGCATGGACACTTGTCATTTACACTGACTCTCCCTTTAACAGTAGTTGTAAAAGCCACACACACATGTGTACTTAATACTGAAGGCCACTCCCGTGGTTCCCCTTGGGAGAAATGTAGTTTCTCTATTCAAGCCATCGCCACCTTCCATGGCACCAACCATCAATAATCAGGCTTCTGTCATCGTAAGAGATCTTTAATTTTAAGCCACTCATGTTTGCCCAACCTCCTTTTGTCAACTCCTGTAGAACTCTGAGCTGAACTCTGTGGAAGCTGAGCTATCCCTGCAGCTGCAGATATACAAAGCAGTCCAAAGACTCTGCTGTGAGGAACACCAGAGCAAGGCGGTGAAGAGAAGCCGGTTACAGCAGTGCAAGCGTGAGGAGAAGAAAGTCAAACAACTGCAGGAAACAGCGTTTCAGCTGCGCCTACAGCACGGACGGACATCACCACGGCCAGGCTGCACCAGCACACAGAGAGGTGAGCTCCGCGCTACTGGCCGACTGATAAAATAACATTGAAATCTCTCCTCTCTGACCTGAGAGGAATGGAATTCCAGTGCCGTTTCCATGGATTAATACAGTTGTTTGCTTTGCTTTTGTTTCCAGATCAGGGCACTTCTGATGATAGCTCTCTGTCGGATTCGGCGCTGCTCGACGAAGGTTAGAGTCACTATGTGCAAAAACTACTCTTGTACAAGTTATATGGATAAGCATGCTATGACAATACCACCAAAGTACCTAATAACTCTCTGAATTTAATTGTATCTCTACTTTACTCCAGAAGAGGTGATTAGTCAGTCATCTCAACCATCTGTGGAGCCCCCTCACCTAGGAGGACCAGCAGATCCTCCCCAGCCTCCCCCAGGCCCCTCACACCCCCCTGGGCCTAGCCCCCACCAGCCTCCCACTACTACTCCAACCCTGGAGGAGCTACAGTCCCGTTTCAACACCAGCCTGGAATTGGAGCCCCCTCCCATCGAGCACTCCCCCTGGACCGAGTCCAGTCTAGACCAGCCTTACCAGAAGATCAAGAAGAAGTCACGCTCCGGTAGCAGCAGGTCAAGGTAAAGGCCAAGGGGGAACCCACTGTGCCTCCTGTAATTTTATATGAACGCTACCCTTGAATTTATTGTACAGGAAAGCCCAAGAATAGCCATAATTGAAGCTTCATGGGTTGGTGAAAGCTCTCTTAAATACAAATCATTATGGCTTGGTAATTGTTTCCATGTAGCCTAATATAAGATTGCCTTGACTTTTTGAATTCATGCAGCTCCATAGTTGAACCCAAATAGATCTACCTTTATGAGAAACCACAAGGTCAGGAATCTGCTTTGGCAGCACTTATCTGAAACGTAAACTCCTCCATTTGATATTTGAAAAATGAGAGTTCCTTTTCATGTGGTTTCTCTCAAGTTGGCATTAATACGTACTTTGTTATTTTGGGAAGGATGTTACTCAGGAACATTTTGATTCAAGTCGCGACTCGTCTTTGAGAGACAGCTCAAATAGACTAATAAATACAAGGGCACATGGAACAGGTTCAAGCGTGCAAAGTACATGCACTCATTTGGCCAACTCATGGCCTGTTTTTCCTCTGACTAAAAACATTTTTAGGGTTTAGTCATTAAACCAGTTCTCTCTCCTTCCTGTCCATGTTACATTTCTGCAGTAGTCCAGCCGTGACCCCTGTGTTGCCTCCAGTGGAAGCCTGTTGTGGAGACACGGCCCTGCCGCTGCAGTTCTCCTCCCATCTAAGACTGTGCTACACCCAGTCCAACAGCGCCCCATCCACCCCGGAGATGCACCTTCGCCGCCAGCTCTCTCTCAGGTCAGCACGTTTAAATGTTTTACATTTATATTTTGGTAGATGTTCTTATAGAGCGACTTACAGTAAGTGCATTCAACTAAGGTAGGTAAGACAACCGCATATCACAGTCACACAGCACCACTGTCCACCATTTTATATCTCATCCACTCTGTCCCCACACCGCTTGAATCTTGAGACTGTCTCACTGTATCTTACAAATGAGTTTGGATATTTGTACTGTTTTGGCCTTGTTTGTAATGCTTCTATGTAATATTTTACAGACTCCCCAACAGTGAGCCTCCGTTGAAACTGGATAAGGATCGAGGTCGCACCCGTGTTCCCAGGAGGCGACTGATGGATTACGTGGTAACGTCTCCAGCCGAGTCCCCTGTCCAGAGGGGAGGCTATGGAAACCCCATATACCACTCCAGCTCTGAGACTGAGGACAGTAACTCTGAACACTCTGCCCCATCCTACACCAGCTCCCCGTGTCGCGAGATGCCCTGTGACCTGCCCAGGCAGTGTCAGCCCACCTATAGGTACCAACACTCCAGCCCCAATGACAATCATCGACCAATGGCCTACCCCCTAGGCCCCGGCTTCTACCAAAACACCCAGCACCAGTCCAGCCCCAGCTTCCACAGGGATTACTATAACGATGGGATGGTCTACCCTTCAGAGATGGACATGACCAGGTTGTATCATGGCCCCCCGCCCCCCTGTCACGCCAGCCAGTATGAGCACTGGTATGAGGAGGCCCCTGTGCACCCCCAGCGGGCTCTCAGGCCCCTGCCCCCTCACATCAGACTGTCCCGCGCACCTTCGCTCCGGGAGTACCCCCACCACTCCTCCAGAGGTCTCCCCCAGCAGGTGGTAAACGAGGAGCTCAAGTCGTGGCACCAGCGCAAGCAGTTCAGACCTCACTCCCTGGACAGACAGGGCGCGGTCAGGATGAGGAATGTACAGGGCCGCGAGTCACCTCTCTCCCAGCACAATAAGTACCATGAACAGGTAAACCGCCACGACGGCACTTCACTTACTACATGATTGCAATGTAGTTGCCCAATTTGAAGTTATTGCCTTTGCGGAATTACTGTTAGCACTGGATTATATTACTGTCAGGTTGGTGTCACTTGGTGCCCCGCAGGCTTTAGAGGAGAAGGGAATTTCTAATCAGTTAAGATGGATGCTACTGGGGTGCTGTGTCCAGGCCTGTCTGCAAGTTCCATGGAATCAGAACTCTTTAAAATGTTTGTGTCGTATATTAATGCAGTCTTTACAAGCAAACTTACTTTGCGTTCTACTGAACTGTGTGAGTTTGGCAATCACACCTGACAAGTATTACCTCCATGAACTAGTAAGCACACTATGTGAGGACAGGAGTCACAGGACAACACGCAACTCTCAATGATACTTGTCTCAGCACGTTTTATGACAGGGGTAGGCAAACCTGTTCCTGGAGTGTCGCAGGTACTGCAGGATTTTGTCTCAACTAGGCACCACACGGAGCTACTAAGTTAATTGATCAGTTCAGTGATTGCCTAAATTCAACACTCCTGGTCTTCCAGGTTGGTTAAATCAAAAACATGAAGTGCCTGCAGCATTCCAGGACCAGGGTTGCCTACCCCTGTTTTATGACTTTCAATGATTGTTTTTAATTGTTTAGGAGCCACCGTTCACACAATATCGTTTTTATGGTCCCATTGTCCAAGGGCAATATGCACACTCACTGAATTGCATTGAGAGAGAGAAACGTTGATACAGTGTGGGCCCTGGTCAAAAGTAATGCACTATATAGGGAATAGAGTGCCATTTGGGATGTACACACTGTATTCCAGCTATGCCCCATGGATCTCCTTACTGCTGTTTTGTCAGCCTCACAAATGGCTCGCACTTTGACCCTGAGTTTCGCTTCAGGACGCATCTTATTTACTTACATACAGTGCATTCAGAAAGTATTCAGACCCCTTGACTTTTTCCACATTTTGTTACGTTACAGACTTATTCTAAAATGGATTAAATTACAAATGTTCCTCATCAATCTACACATAGTACCCCATAATGACAAAGCAAAAACAGATTTTTCAATTTTTTTGCAAATGTATTAAATATACTAAACAGAACTTCATATTTAAAATGCAAAACAGTATTCAGACCCTTTGCTATGAGACTAGAAATTGAGCTCAGGTGCATCCTGTTTCCATTGATCATCCTTGAGATGTTTCTACAACTTGATTGGAGTCCACCTGTGGTAAATTAAATTGAATGGACATGATTTGGAAAGGCACACACCTGTCTATATAAGGTCCCACAGTTGACAGTGCATGTCAGAGCAAAAACCAATCCATGAGGTCGAAGAAATTGTCCGTAGAGCTCCGAGACAGGATTGTCGAGGCACAGATCTGGGGAAGGGTACCAAATAATGTCTGCAGCATTGAAGGTCCCCAAGAACACAGTGGCCTCCATGATTCTTAAATGGAAGAAGTTTGGAACCACCAAGACTCTTCCTAGAGCTGGCCGCCTGGCCAAACCTGAGCAATTGGGGGAGAAGGGCCTTGGTCAGAGAGGTGACCAAGATCCCGATGGTCACACTGACCGAGCTCCAGAGTTCCTCTGTGAAGATGGGAGAACCTTCCAGAAGGACAACCATCTCTGCATCACTCCACCAATCAGGCCTTTATGGTAGAGTGGCCAGACGGAAGCAACTCCTCAGTAAAAGGCACATGACAGCCCGCTTGGAGTTTGCCAAAAGGCACCTAAAGGACTCTGACCATGAGAAACAAGATTCTCTGATCTGATGAAACCAAGATTGAACTCTTTGGCCTGAATGCCAAGTGTCACGTCTGGGGGAAATCTGGCACCATCACTACAGTGAAGCATTGTGGTGGCAGCATCATGCTGTGGGGATGTTTTTCAGCGGCAGGGACTGGGAGACTAGTCAGGATTGAGGGAAAGATGAACGGAGCAAAGTACAGAGAGATCCTTGATGAAAACCTGCTCCAGAGCGCTCAGGACCTCAGACTGGGGCGAAGGTTCACCTTCCAACAGGACAACGACCCTAAGCACACAGCCAAGACAGCGCAGGAGTGGCATCGAGACAAGTCTCTGAATGTTCTTGAGTGGCCCAGCCAGAGCCCGGACTTGAACCCGATCGAACATCTCTGGAGAGACCTGAAAATAGCTGTGCAGCGACACTCCCATCCAACCTGACAGAGCTTGAGAGGATCTGCAGAGAAGAATGGGAGAAACTCCCCAAATACAGGTGTGCTAAGCTTATAGCGTCATACCCAAGAAGACTCAAGGCTGTAATCGCTACCAAAGGTGCTTCAACAAAGTACTGAGCAAAGGGTCTGAATCCTTATGTTAATGTGATATTTCAGTATTTTTATTTTTTATACATTTGCAAAAATGTCTGCTTTGTCATTATGGGAGATTGTGTGTAGATTGATGAGGGGGGGAAACATTTTCATCCATTTTATAATAAGGCTGCAACGTCACAAAATGTGGAAAAAGTCAAGGGGTCTGAATTCTTTCCAAATGCACTGTATCTTTTGAGTTCAGAAACAGTTTAAGAAAATCTATGGAGGCAGGTGGTGAGTCAATGTGATTTTTAAGACATTGAAATGATTATAATATGAGACGCAGTGGGTATCCTGAGTTTTCTCTTTCTCCAGAGGGCAAGGTGTGGGAATGGTCATGCATGATAGTAAGACCCAGGTGCCACATTCCTGTGTCGTTTTACTGTCTTTACCCTTCAGCAATGATTTAGATCGCCAGCGGTTGGAAAAGCATGGGCAGCTGTAGTACAGTACTGGATCTAATATTTCTCTGTTGTTTTTGGGTCTAATATTTCTCAGTAGTAGTAGTGACCATTCTTCATTTCAGGGGATGTTCTGATCACAGGAAGTAAAGGAGGTTTAAGAGACATTCAGACAGCTGCAGTGCATACTGTTCTTGTGGCCCTCCCATAGTCAACCTCACCCCTGAATCATACAGTGTCACGCTGAGTCACAGTGTAGCTCACTGTAGAGAAAAATGACACACCCTTGTTGTGGATCAGCTGCTAAAACCTAAAAGCCAAGCATTTTGAGACACTATGGCTGAAATCAAATAAAGTTTTGATTTGGTTTGAACTCTTATGACCTTCTCATTATGGAGCTCTCAATGGTGAAGTTATACCACAGTGCTATGTACTGTACTTCCTTTAACATCATATTTGTATCTCCAACTTGCTGGTGTTGTGAGAACTGCGTAATACAGCAGATGAGCCCTTGGTCTCTGCTGTAGGGCAGTATACTCACTCCTGACCCTGAAGGGTTTCAGGGAACCACCAGCAGAAACATCATTGCTATTATCTACTTTGTTGCCTTATCTCCATACTGTGAACTTCCAATAATGTTATTGCTAGTGATATTTAAAATCATAACTCTGTTAGTACTGACTTGAAAAACCAGACATTGAAATAAATGTTCCCTGTTTTTGTCGTCCCGTCTGCAGGCTCCCCAGAGACGTGTCATCCAGAGGGCAGCGGACGGGACCCCAGTGCAGTGGTTTGTGGATGACGACTCGGAGATCGTCAGTCAGGTGTAGGACTAGGGAGAGGGCCCCCAGTGCCACCCCCTCTCTGGAAAGCTCTGACCTCCTCCCCCGCCCACAGAGCCCTATTTATTCATTAATTTATTACATCACTGGACCTGGTGCTGATATGCGATGAGAGAGAGAGACTGGGCATAATATCAAAGAGGATCTGAGGCTTTATACATTGACTTCAACATGTTACCCGGGCAACCAGAAAGTCAATTAAAGGCACAAAGCAACAGACCACAACGTTCCCCTGCTGCCTCCCTTTTTACTGTGAAAGAGCCGCTGTGTTGAACATTCTTTCATGGTTAGTTTATCTGTTTTTTGTATGGATCTATTGATGTGTTTAGTACTATCGAAAATGTTTCTAAAATATGCATTTAGTTATTGTTTTTCTAAAAGAAAAAGTTTATCTTTAGAAATGAATAAATAATGGAATAAAGATGTATACTGTTAATCCTATCAGTGTCATTCTGTTATAATCTTCACTTTCTTCAGAGTTGGGAATTCAATTCCAACAGGAAGTTTCTGAGTGGTGGTATCCATAGAATCAGAATAAGTACCAATATTATTATTATCATTGGTTACACATTATTTTGTCATCATTCGACCGTTCAGCGTTGAAGCTGCACTGTCTTTTATCAATTTACTAGTCTCTCCCTTACAGACATTTGTAGCAAAAAGCACTTTGACTGGCAAAGAAGTTGAAGTTACTGCCGGGTGCCTTCATTTCTCACATTTTGGCTCATGATCATCCCCTGCTTGTGGACAGTAATTATGCCCTTGATAAACCATTATTTTATTATGCATTATAACAATACACTTTTTGTACATAGATAATTGGTACTTGAAAGTTGGACTTTATTTAACCATGGATGTCACATTGAACAATACATAATACAAAACACTGTTATTCTAAACAAAGTATCTCATATTGTTCCACATATCCTATTAATATTCATATTAATAGTTGTAATAATTCAGTTCTGCCACCCTTTTTAGAGTTTACATAAGACATTCAATCATTTAGCCATCTGGCTGGCTAAAACGGGCACTTTTATAGTAACACTGCTACTCCTACTGCTCTCTCCTCGTCTGACCATGTGTTCTCGCATACCCCGAGAGCATCTGGTCAGCGGGGTGGTGGCACAGGAATCCTCATCTCTCCCAAGTGGACATTCTCAATTTTTCCCCTAACCCATCTGTCCATCTCCTCATTTGAATTCCATGCTGTCACAGTCACTAGCCCATTTAAGCTTAATATCCTTGTCATCTATCGCCCTCCAGGTTCCCTTGGAGAGTTCATCAATGAGCTTGACGCCTTGATAAGTTCCTTTCCTGAGGATGGCTCACCCCTCACAGTTTTGGGGGATTTCAACCTCCCTACGTCTACATTTGACTCATTTCTCTCTGCCTCCTTCTTTCTACTCCTCTCCTCTTTTGACCTCACCCTCTCACCGTCCCCCCCTACTCACAAGGCAGGCAATACGCTTGACCTGATCTTTACTAGATGCTGTTCTTCTACTAATCTCACTGCAACTCCCCTCCATGTCTCCGACCACTACTTTGTATCCTTTTCTCTCTCGCTCTCCTCCAACACTACTCACTCTGCCCCTACACAGATGGTAATGCGCCGCCGCAACCTTCGCTCTCTCTCTCCCGCTACTCTCTCTTCTTCCATCCTATCATCTCTTCCCTCTGCTCAATCCTTCTCCCTCCAATCTCCTGATTCTGCCTCCTCAACCCTCCTCTCCTCCCTTTCTGCATCCTTTGACTCTCTATGTCCCCTATCCTCCCGGCCGGCTCGATCCTCCCCTCCAGCTCCGTGGCTTGATGACTCATTGCGAGCTCACAGAACAGAGCTCCGGGCAGCTGAGCGGAAATGGAAGAAAACTAGACTCCCTGCGGACCTGGCATCTTTTCACTCCCTCCTCTCTACATTTTCTTCATCTGTTTCTGCTGCTAAGGCCACTTTCTACCACTCTAAATTCCAAGCATCTGCCTCTAACCCTAGGAAGCTCTTTGCCACATTCTCCTCCCTGCTGAATCCTCCTCCCCCCCCCCCCCCCCCTCCTCCCTCTCTGTGGATGACTTCGTCAACCACTTTGAAAAGAAGGTTGACGACATCCGATCCTCGTTTGTTAAGTCAAATGACACTGCTGGTCCTGCTCACACTGCCCTACCCTATGCTTTGACTTCTTTCTCCCCTCTCTCTCCAGATAAAATCTTGCGACTTGTGACTGCAGGCCGCCCAACAACCTGCCCGCTTGACCCTATCCCCTCCTCTCTTCTCCAGACCATCTCCGGTGACCTTCTCCCCTACCTCACCTCGCTGATCAACTCATCCTTGACCGCTGGCTATGTCCCTTCCGTCTTCAAGAGAGCAAGAGTTGCACCCCTTCTCAAAAAACCAACACTCGATCCCTCTGATGTCAACAACTACAGACCAGTATCCCTTCTTTCTTTTCTTTCCAAAACTATTGAGCGTGCCGTCTTTAGCCAACTCTCTTGCTATCTCTCTCAGAATGACCTTCTTGATCCAAACCAGTCAGGTTTCAGGACTGGTCATTCAACTGAGACTGCTCTTCTCTGTGTCACGGAGGCTCTCCGCACTGCTAAAGCTAACTCTCTCTCCTCTGCTCTTGTCCTTCTAGACCTGTCTGCTGCCTTTGATACTGTGAACCATCAGATCCTCCTCTCCACCCTCTCCGAGCTGGGCATCTCCGGCGCGGCTCACTCTTGGATTGCGTCCTACCTGACCGGTCGCTCCTACCAAGTGGCGTGGCGAGAAGCTGTCTCCGCACCACGTGCTCTCACCACTGGTGTCCCCCAGGGCTCAGTTCTAGGCCCTCTCCTATTCTCGCTATACACCAAGTCACTTGGCTCTGTCATATCCTCACATGGCCTCTCCTATCATTGCTACGCTGACGATACACAACTAATCTTCTCCTTTCCCCCTTCTGATAACCAGGTGGCGAATCGCATCTCTGCATGTCTGGCAGACATATCAGTATGGATGACGGATCACCACCTCAAGCTGAACCTTGGCAAGACGGAGCTGCTCTTCCTCCCGGGGAAGGACTGCCCGTTCCATGATCTCGCCATCACGGTTGACAACTCCGTTGTGTCCTCCTCCCAGAGTGCGAAGAGCCTTGGCGTGACCCTGGACAACACCCTGTCGTTCTCCGCTAACATCAAGGCGGTGACCCGATCCTGTAGGTTCATGCTCTACAACATTCGGAGAGTACGACCCTGCCTTACACAGGAAGCGGCACAGGTCCTAATCCAGGCACTTGTCATCTCCCGTCTGGATTACTGCAACTCGCTGTTGGCTGGGCTCCCTGCCTGTGCCATTAAACCCCTACAACTCATCCAGAATGCCGCAGCCCGTCTGGTGTTCAACCTTCCCAAGTTCTCTCACGTCACCCCGCTCCTCTGCACACTCCACTGGCTTCCAGTTGAAGCTCGCATCTGTTACAAGACCATGGTGCTTGCCTATGGAGCTGTGAGGGGAACGGCACCTCCGTACCTTCAGGCTCTGATCAGTCCCTACACCCAAACGAGGGCATTGCGTTCATCCACCTCTGGCCTGCTGGCTCCCCTTCCTCTGCGGAAGCATAGTTCCCGCTCAGCCCAGTCAAAACTGTTCGCTGCTCTGGCACCCCAATGGTGGAACAAGCTCCCTCACGACGCCAGGACAGTGGAGTCACTCACCACCTTCCGGAGACATTTGAAACCCCACCTCTTTAAGGAATACCTGGGATAGGATAAAGTAATCCTTCTACCCCCCCCACTGGCTATAGGGTGAATGCACCAATTTGTAAGTCGCTCTGGATAAGAGCGTCTGCTAAATGACGTAAATGTAAATGTAAATGTAAATGATTAAAGCTCGAATCTGCAGCTGAAACAATAACAAAGCCGACACCTGGCCTCTGTTTTGTTAAACAGCTGATGGATGGGCCTGGAGAAATGTAACAGTTCTCAAATTCATAGACACAGCTATCGATGCAAGGGCTGACCATCTATATAAAAAGTATAGTTTTAATCATGTTTTGAGGCTATAAAGTGTTTGTTTACATTGATGTTTACAAACATTGGGGTAAAACATATATTTTGAGTCTGATTGGGTACGACAGTTAAGAACATAAGTGAATTAAAGGACCTCTAATAAATTAATTATGACACTTGCCCTTGCGCAGTAAAGCAATACTTGACAACTGTTTTTACAGAGGCACGTTTTTTCACTACACCGGAAGTTACATTCCACCAGCAAGAATAAGCAAGACCAAGCAAGGCCGGGACCTCGGCGATTTTCCTTCAAAATAAAAGTCCTGCAATGAAGATGGTGAAAAATAATACAAATGGTCGAAATTCGTAACATTTTATGAGGATTTGTTAGCAGACTTCGAATTTTGTTTAACATTATGAAAAAGGGAATAAAGTTAATCGCCTTTATAGCACAAATAATATTATAGCACTGACATTATTGTTATCAGCATTAAAAGTAATGATTAGCCTACTAGATAGTTATCATGGGAACAACAGTAACACAAATAACAAATCAATATTTATAATGCTACTATTAATAATAGTAATATGAATATTAATAATTGTATTATAATAATCAACTTTAGAAAACACTATTAATCACATTGTTAATTAGCTCATTCATATTGTACCATGTTCAGTATGTTTTTCAAATTGGACATATTGCACTGTAGTACACAATTTCCTGTAGCCTACATTGTGTCGCAGTCCATTCTACTCAGGAGCACCTCTAGTTTCCAAATCCAAGGAGCGTCGCTGCTAATTAGGTGGCCCTTATGGAGTGGCCCATCAACTGAAATCCAATAATTTGTTGATATTGGACATACAGTGCTATGAAAACGTATTTGCCCCCTTTCTAATTTTCTCTACTTTTATTAGATAAAGGGAACATAAGTGAACAAATAACACAACAATTACATATTTATTTCATTTATTTCTTAAACAAAGTTATGCAACACCCAATTCCCCTGTGTGAAAAAGTAATTGCCCCCTTACACTCAATAACTGGTTGTGCCACCTTTAGCTGCAATAACTCCAACCAAATGCTTCCTGTAGTTGTTGATCAGTCTCTCACGTCGCTGTGGAGGAATTTTGGCACACTCTTCCATGCAGAACTGCTTTAACTCAGTGACGTGTGGGTTTTCAAGCATGAACTGCTCGTTTCAAGTCCTGCCACGACATCTCAATTGGGATTAGGTCTGGACTTTGACTAGGCCATTCCAAAACTTAAAATGTCTTGCTTTTTAGCTATTTTCATGTAGACTTGATTGTGTGTTTTGGATCATTGTCTTGCTGCATGACCCAGCTGCGCTTCAGCTTCAGCTCACAGACGGATGGTCTGACATTCCCCTGTAGAATTCTCTGATACAGAGCAGAATTCATGGTTCCTTCTATTAAGGCAAGTCGTCC